CAAACTTAGATTTCTAATAGGGTTAGTCTCTTCTTGCAGTAAATTTTGTCTCTCTCCAAATTTTGGAAATTCAGATTAAAAAATTTACTTAGATGAGTGCATTTTTATGTCAAAATAAAAACAGGATACCCAACTTTCACTTGTAAATAAGATCTACAAGAATAAAATATGATAAAATATTGTTAAATTAATTTTTCTTGATGTGTTTGCCAGTGTTTTCAGTGCTATGAACAGATTTACCTCAGAGCAAGAAACCTATTAATTTGCTGGCAATTTTGTCACAGTTGAATTCACACAGGATGCAAAAGATATTGCAGATCTGGTTTACCACAGAACTCCAGCCATGAGATTTTCACAGCAATAATGATTACAACTGTGAACTATATGTATTTGTTTTGATGAAGGTATTTTTTGTCTTATTTTAAATAAAAAAGGGTGTATACAACTATAGCAATAAAGTTGCAGCAGACAAAATAAGGTTAAATTCTTTTTGTTGGTATAAGATGACATTCTAAAGTGTCTGTTGGAGTTTGCAATCACAGTTATATTCTGACTACTTTCTCTAATTTGTGACTTCAAGAAATTCTGATGGATTCCTTCACAAAATGCCTGCAAGTACGATTTCTATTTTTAAAGCAACAAAAGGAAAATGTAATGAAACAGTTCATCAAATTCACTCTTGATAAACAAATATATCTTTCTAAAACAGATAAATAGAAGTCTTATATGGAAACTACAGAAGACAAAAAAGAAGAGGAGCACAGGATGGTCAGTCTCAGGAAACTTTCAGTTAAAATACCACATGAAAAAAAAAAAAGAAGTGCTTGATTTGCAAGGAAAGCAAGCCACAACCTAGATATTTCCCAGTAAGCTTCCTATGTCAGAGCCTGTTTTATGTTCTAAATTCAAAACAAATTCAGTGTATTTTCTGAGAGCCTTCATCACCCTTAAATCTCTGTGTACTTCACTGCATATATTTTCAGTGTATGACTTAGTTCAACACTACAGACATTGCTTGATTTTCAGTATTTTGACTCCCAAAATTATCAGAATTTTAGGAAATGGGCGATATGCATGCACAACATTTATACTACACTAGACTATACTTGATTTTAGACAAAAGGCTGAGAAGCCCCTCACTACAAGAAAGACACTGAGATGCTGGAGTGTATCCAAAGAAGGGCAATGAAGCCAGTGAAGGGTCTGGAGCACAAGTCTGAGGTCGCTCAGCTGAGGAAGCTGGGGTTGTTTAGTTTGAAGAAAAAAAGCCTGTGGGGGGAATTTTATCGTTCTCTATAACTACCTGAACGGAGGTTGCAGCAAGGTGGGGGTCAGTCACTTCTCTCAAATAATAAATGGTAGAACAAGAGGAAATGGCCTCAAGTTGTGTCAGGCAAGGACACTAGGAAAAATTTCTTCACCAAAGCAATTGTCAAGCACTGGAGAGGTCTGCCCAGGGAAGTGATTGAGTCACAATTCCTGGAGGTATTTAAAAAATGTGAGAGCATGGCACTTGGGGACAAGGTTTAATGGTGGATTTGGCAGTGTTGGGTTGGTGCTGATGATCTTAAGGGTCTTTTCCAACCTAAATGATTCTATGACTATACCGCAAATGATCACGTTTAAGGATGAATTGCACGTGATTCGTGGAATCAGAATGAGATTTGAGCTATTTAAATTCAACTTCCATTACACCCAAAGAATCATCTATAAGCCTTATGTAAGTTACTGAATTTTAGTCTCTAAAATATAGATGTTAATAGAAATTTACCGTTTAGACTATGAGATCTTTAAAGTTATAGACCATTTCTCCCACTATAAATAATACACCTGTAATAGTAACAAAAATTAAATTAAAATGGAGTTATTAATATTCACTGAAAACACAAAATAAAAGTCTCTAAGTACAAGAGTAAATGCAAGGTATCTAAATAGGGTTAAAATCACCTTTTCATGAGGTTATTGCACGTACTTTCAGTTAAAAATTGTTTGTGTATATAGCTGATTCTGTTTCAGAAATCCAACAAAAGCAAATTGGTCATATTTGTACCTGTTTTGCAGGATACATTATAGAGCACAAGTAGTAATAACTTAATAACAGTTTTGCTAAACTGACCCTATAGATTTTTTCCTAAACTTTAATAACATCTAAAGACCTTCTTATATAAACTATATATTTACATTTAACTTTCAAGGAAATGTAATTTTTTTTCCTTTCATTTTCCCTGCATCTTTAAATCAAAAAGAAAATTTTATCTTTATTAACTTAAGAGGCACTAAAGCAATGATAAATACATTAGCTGTTTAAAACAGTACCTTTAACTTCTAAACTTCTCAAGGGAGATTCTTCAAAGGGTGTTATGAGTCTGTTGCTATGCAGAGCAAACTGAGCTAAATGCAGATGAAGCAGATTGCTAGCAAACAGTTTCAACAAACTGTGAACAATGAAAACCAGAAATCTTTGTATATTGTCTAGACTAGATCTTTACTAATCATTCCATTCACTTCATGTATTAAGAGTGCTAAGGCGTGGCTGTTATCAGAGAAAGACGGAATACAAATAAGTAAATTCCTATTCAGTGAAATCAACAGGAACATTCATTATGTAAGATTTACAAGTGTACCCTGGACAGATTTAGGGGTACAGACATACATTTACATGACAGCAACTTAAAAAATTCCTAGTATATCAATAAAGCCAGGATATTTTCATGTAGGTTTGCTCCTTTCTTTCAGCAAATAGAAGAAAATTTATCTTAGCCTAGCCTGCAATTAAAGAGTGTTATGAAGGCTAGTCATTATGGTTGAGAATAGATGAGGGCTACACCCATACTTTTAAAAGTATGACTGATAGTATTATGTCTATAATACACAGGTTTTCATATCACCTCTATTTTGCTCAGCAACAATGCAGTCCATTCTTTAACATGAAAAATTTATTATTGCAGAAGTAAATCTTTCTTTCAAATGTCACCAGAGGATGATGGTAGTTGAGAAATCATCAATATTGAATCTATACCCAGCAGGCAAAGCTGCATCCTATCATTGAAAAGCATTCTTTGGTGGCAACAATTTTGTTATAGAGCTACACTGGTTAATAGCTATCTTGCTACAAATTAACACAGCTTGGGAATACGAAACAATAACACTGCTTTGAAGAAAAAAAAATCAAAATAAATACAAACAAAACTTCCTTTTAACTTCTCTTTCCATCAGTATTCATTTGGTATTTTGAAACCGTGTTCAGCTGATCAGTTAAAGTGAATAATAAAGTCTATTATTCAGGTATTGACAGTGCATGATATGTCAGCTCATTAAGACCTAAATATTCCAACACACATTTTAAAGTCTGTTCTCCTCAGCAGCTGAATGTTTTCTTTCTCCTGTTTCTCAGTTCATTTCTCTATACCTATCATAGTCCTCACCACCCCTGAGATTATCTTCCTTGAAATCAAGTGGCAGCTGTAGGATGTAATTTATGAAGAGAGACTCAAAGATCCTGAAACACAGAAGAAGGTTCATAAAGTAACAAAATTAACATTTCAAAATAAGATTCAGAAAACATGGGGAAAAGTGTATTCCAAGGTAAGCCGTAGGACGAAAACACAAAAAGGTTTTAAAAGGAGTCCAAAGAAAATGTAAGCCATTGCTCTCTTAGAAAAGCAATTAAGAGGGAAAATATTAATGGATTTCACAGATAGAAGTATGCATTAATTATCTCTGACAGCCCACCTTTTATTATGCTTCTAGTATTAGCTTCCTCAGTTTTGTACATAGCGTTTATTCCCTGTGAACAACCTTTCAGAAAATAGCTGGAGACAAATATTGTCAAAGAATTTGCAATAGACAGCAACATTTTTTTACAACACCCTTGTTGTTCCTATCATAACAGGCATTTTCCATGCAAGTCTCCCAAAAGCCAAAAATGGGTTCAAGAATCAGAAGGTCAAAAAAAAAAAAATTACCTGTGAGAGTACAGTGACATGACCTAGGATGACCTACAAAGCAAAAGTACATACTGCACAATCATTCAGCAGCCACTAACAGGGCCAACACAGGGATAAAACTCTTCAGAAAAAAACCCAAAGCCACACACAACAAACAAACAAAAAAAAAAAACCAAACCAGAAAAAAACACCAAAAAAACTCCAATAAACAAAACCCAACACTAAACCTATTTCACGGTTAAATATCACATCAGAAAGACTCAAAACCATGCAAACTTCTGCTTTACAACATGCTTAAGTCCACTAGGAGAGATAAAATTAGGTCTTATTCTTGCTATGTTTAAGGTATATCCCAAGCATGTTCTTCTAAATTAAAGAAACAAACAAAAAAAATCAATTAAACCTTCCAAACTCTGCTGCAGAACACTAGATGTAACTGAGATGCACCTGCAGTCTATTATAGATCTTTGCAGCAATAAGGATGCTGAACTACCTGTGCCTCTGGATCTGATAGATGCTGCCTGTGCCAGCCCACATTCAGCAAAAGAGATCCAGAAGGCTTCAGTTATTCCAATTATCTTGACTATGAGTCTTTAAAAAAACAACAAAAAAACCCAAACCAAACCAAAAACAACCAAACAAACAAACAAAAAATCACACTAGTCACTGCAACTTGCTTATCTACACTTCAATTTAAGAATGGTCTCTGAAAAAATTCCTGGGTAAAGTTCAGGAACTAGAAGAGGAACTATTCTAAATTCACAATTTGCATATAGCTACATGTTTATAGACTAAGGGACTTCAAAATTATGGATTGAACCAACTGTCCTAAGAACTGAATGGGAAATCACCCTATCTCTTCTAGGAATACAGCTATTTTGTGGTCTTGCTATCAATACTTTCTGAAAGGTAACTGGTTTCCATATTCAAAGCAACAAAAATACCAGTATTTTTGAATTTTAAATACATACACTTGACCACATCACAAAGTTTTGTGATATCCTAAGTGGTGAAATAATTTTTGGGAAAAGAAAAAAGAATAACACAAATGTATTCTTTTACTAACAATAGCTTTATTTTATGCAGGATGTTTCACAAAATTTTGTTTGGACAGTGTATGCACTAGAACTGCTCAGACACAGAAATCTACTTACATGTAAGACCGTACACATATAAATCTAAATTCATCCTACCTCATTTGAAGTCTGTCAGTGGGCATCTAAACCAAGAGTTTCATCATTCTTGGCTGTTGAGTATTTAAAAAGATGGAAGCAGTATCTGATTTACCTTGGAAGGCAGTATTCACTTTCCACTGATTCTAGGGTGACAAAGCTCCTTATTTAGGTAAGAAAGTTAAATTACCTAATGTGAAATAGATTATTTCAGGTCATGTTCATAAACTCCACAATAAACTCCACATAAACTCCACACTTTCTCAGTAAAGGCAGTAAACAAAGTACTGAATTTATACCATCATAAATTAAGAGCCTTTCAGAAATTATTCTCTTATAGACAACTGTGAATGAAATGAGACTGTCCTTGTTTTCCTCCATCACACGTAACTCTCAGCATATTGTCAGCTCAAAAGATGTATAGTTTAATTTAAAACAGTATCATTTCGGCAACATGAAATAGCACTTTCCCATTATTAAGTATGTTCTGAGACAGCACAAGATTACCCATCCACATCTTTTATGAGAACAGTGTTGATCACATATCAGCAAATTTCTCCTCACTGAAGAAAATCAAAGTCCTGACATTTGAAAATTGTACTTTGTAGATTATTTTGAATATCTCTTGGTTTCTACACCTCCTTCAGTGAGCTTATAAATTTATCAGACAGCCTACAGGTAGTTTTGGTTAGAGTTCCAGAACAATTTTATTTGTTTACATTATTAAAATACACTTCCTTTTGTCATCACATAACAAGAACAATAATATTTCACGATCATTTGTGGTATTTACTTCCTTTAATTTCTTCTGTTTTGAAATATTCAAGCCAACTAGATGATAACAGTTTGATAATAGTAGATGATAGTATTTTGTTCCTATTGAAATCGATAGCACAACATTAATTGAAGTCAGCATGGTAGCATTCCACTTACGTTCCAAATCTGAGCAGTTCTCAATTTAGTTTTGACTCATAACTCAGAATCAATAATATTTCACAATATGTAAATATGGAGTTTGAGACTGTGTCTCCAGACAGACTCTTCATTTGGAAGACAGCCCATCCATTATGTGATTTAAACAAAGGTTTCAGTCTAAACCAAAGCTAAAGGGGAGTCTAGAGAAAGGAATGACAGCTTATACTGCTCTGATCACTCTGACCACTGAACTGTTAAGATCCAGTACCTATCCTCTTGAAAATTTGTGTAAATAAGGAAATAATTTTGATAAATTACTAAGTCACCTAAAGAAGTATCACAGTTTCTAATTACAAAATATTACAATATACAGAACCCAGAATATGGGCCACTTGCAAAAGGGGTAACTTTTTTAACTTACAGAAATATTGATATCACATGTTTTCATCCTTCATCTTGAACTGTACACTTCAAATGTTTTCAGGAAATGCAGTATTATATTCCAGATAATGTATGTTTATGTTCATCAAATAAATAATGTCTCTAATAATGAAAATAATTGACTGCAGGATGGACAGAAGTTTACTAGGAGTCATATCATTTTTTCAACAGCAAGTGAAACAAATCAAAAAAAATTCTGACCCATGACTGCAGCTTTACAAATCAGTTAACAAAAATTTTATAAAACTGGAAATTTTTGTTTAAATTGCATTTTAACACTATCAGAATGGTATTACACTGTCAAATGAGTTGTGATATATATTTTACATAATAGAGGATCTTGTATAGAAATTAAACTCCAGATCTGGCAAATTAACTGTTCAAACATAAATCTGATGAGGACTGTATGGCTACCATGTGTTAAGAGGGTGAAAAGAATGAATCTGACCATGATACCGAGGCTCATCTACACAGATGTTGCTCTTGGAAAAAGCCTACCGGGAACAAGAAAGGCATTTAGATATGCTTAGGGGCTATAGATTTAAGCTATTTGATAGAACTCTGAATGCCAAGACCAATGTGCATCTCTCCAGGGCCAATGTCACTTAGTAACAAAGTAAGTAAATAACTGACATGTTTTCCTTGGGTTTTTTTTCTTATGCTTCCAAATATGATTCAGAGATAAGCATTTAAATAAAGCCTGCCTTTTTAAAAAAATACATAAAAATCTTAGCTGTGTCATAATTGGACAATTCAAACCACAATATACTACAAATAAGCATCAACATTTAATAGAAGGAGAAAAAGGAAGCAAAGTTAAGATAAAGTACTGAGACTAGTTTTCATAAGCAGAACACTTTTCAATACAATTTACCTAAACAGGCATGCTTTTCAAAAAGGTCGAACAATTCTCAAAGTTTACATGACAGTCTTAAACATTACTGTATTGAGAAAGGGGAGGTTACTGTCCGTGTCTATGTAGTGACCATTCTTCCTCTGGGTTCTGGTGACAAGAGAATAACTCTGTATACCCACAAAATCTTACCTTCAGTTGCCCTAAAACATCTGAGAGAACAAAACCTTTTTATTTGTTCTGGTTCTAGAGTGTAAATCATGGAAATAGAAGGTGAATGCTGAAATTTATTCTGTCAAGTACAAACTGTACAGACATCAGTACTTTTTTTTTTAACATACAATCAAAAATGTATGACTTCTCAGAGAGAAGTCAGTTTGAGAGAATGATACTTGGAAACCAAAGTTTCACTAAAATATCAATGTATATTGATATTTTAATTTTTATGAGATATTTTAATGGGATATTTTATTATATGGATATAATTATTATATGGATATTTTAATTTTTTTAATGAGATCTTGTTTAATATTTCTTTTAACATGGCATTCCACCTAGCCAAGAGTAAAACATAGGTTTGAAGGGGAAAATACAACTATCCCTAGTAAAGGACAGGTAAATTAGTGTGAGACGACAAATTATCCATAGTTTTATCATATTAGAGGCTTCTTTTGGCATATTAATGACTGCCTGAGAAAGAGGTATTTTTATCTAGGTCATGATGAAATGTCCCAATGTGCTCCAAAGGATATGAAATATATGTATGGGAGGGACAAAATAGTGGAGTAAGACAGGGACATAATACTAAGATTAGAAGAAAAGGCAAGAACTTCTATACATTAAAAATCAGCAAGGGTACCTGTAATCTGTGCAAAGAAACTCACTGCACTTTTGACATTGCCTAATGTTTACCACCCAAATAAATAGTACTTACACACATGTTTGAATATAATAAGCCCAAGCTCTGATTCTAGCTCTCACAAACCGAAGCATATTTCAAGACAATTCCATTTGTAATGAAAAACAGGTGGTAAAGGAAATAGATGTCTTTGTGATATGATTTACACATCTGCAGAATTTACAATATGCATGCATTTCCAGGGAATGCTGAGCAATTTAAATTGGGAAATGGGAATTTTTTTTTTAAGGGGCATGCGAAACAAAGAGTGTGACTCAAGAAGAAAATAAACTGTGACAAATACACATCTATCCTATCAGGCCTATCTGTTTCCAAACCAAAATCACAGTACAGCATCATGTTAAAGAAACACCAATCATTATAAAAATCAGACAACTTTGGAAATAGTTTACTGTAGGGAAACATCACTCAAATGTGAGGTGGCTGAGGGACAGGTGATTTTCAGATCTCTCCCCTTGCTGAAAGACATGAGATTAGCAATGGCTATCCTTCAGAAATTAATTATATAGACAAGGAAAACATCCCTCAGCAACACAGACCTAGAGGTTTATCTGAGGTCTTCTAAATCTCAGCCAGCCACTTTATGCAGACATCAGCAATAAACCATGGCCAATGACATCAAATATTTGCACTGGTCCCAGAGAAATTATGCACAAGAATCACCAGAGAAATGTGTTACAACAAAGAAGGATGGAAGAGTCTCACTCAAAAAGAGAAAATCTGTGCAGTATCTCTCAGACAAGAGATACAGGATAAAGCAGTGCAAGAAGCCAATATGTTAATAACCTTCAAGATTAGGTTATGTCGAGGCAGGCCAAAATTACACAAAATCTTCTCCAAATTTAACTGCTCATTTGGGGAATCTTGCTAGTTTCTTTGATTTTGTCCCATTTCTTTTCCTACTTCAAAGCCAGTTTAAGTACCACGTCTAGATGAAGGAATCATATCCTACAATAAGATTTCATATCCACATCAATGTCAGTCTCAGGTCTCTCTGCTCAGACTGTAAATAAGGAACTAGATTTACTCAAATGTTGTTTCCTCCTGCTGAAGGGATGCTGAACAACCCTAAATCTTAGCTTATGTTTATTTTGCATCACTATAATGACGAGTGAGACACAGACAGAATGCATCAGTAAACCCATCTAAGGGGGTCAATTATCACCACTGGGAACAGGACCAGTTTAACAAGCATAATTTCATATAAGCCATCATACAATCATCAAATGATAAGTACTTTCAGGAACTAACCACTTGGGCTGGAATCAGACTGGTGAGTTGGAGGTGAAAAGCTCTCTGTTCTTTTACTAATCCCCTGAGCTATAGAGGTCCCAGATGGTAGTTCTGCAAAGGTTCACACAGCTTTTTTGAAAGGCAGCAAAAGTAGTTACAATTTCTTTTTAAAATAAAATAAATCAAAAGTAGTTACAATTTCTTTTTAAAGAAAAACAAATCAAAACAAAACAAACAAAAAATCCTCCAGTTTCAAGAACAGTGAAAAAAAGTTTACTTTTTTCTTAAAATAATCTCTCTGAAAGTAGCAGACTGTACACATTTTACAAGAATAAACAAACTTCTATAGTATTTATCCACAAATTGGGAGTCAGAGATCATTAGTGCAAATTTCTGCTGACCGGCAGCATTCATTCTATAAACTTTGGGTATCCTAAGTGGTCCATCAGTGAATAACAGATGTCCTCAATTTGTCTAATCTCTTCATGGGGCATGTTTTTTTTCCAGGCATGAATGCTACTTGGTGAAATTTCCCCTTCATAAGGAAGATAGAAAAGACTGGTGGAGGTGGCAAATAATATTTGGTTTAAGCTAGCAGGAGGAAGAGGAATACCAAGAAAGGCAAAAATTGTTTCAGCCGTCTTCTGAGGAAAGTTCACAATATCTTCAAACTTGACCAGCTGATAATTTGTTGGGAGCAAGTCCCCATTTATTCTCATTGCTGCTGCTGTGTTTGCTAGCCATAAATAGGACAACATAGAAATAGGATTTGACTTAGAATTTGAAAATTCTTTTCTCAGTGATTCATATTCGGAGGCATAGCCTTCATTTAAACTACATTTTTCTTTACCATTCTCCCCTTTAAATATTGCAGCCAAGTGTTGTGGAACATTTTTCAAGGAGTAAAGGCTTGGCTTATTTTTGTATAACATCGAATAGACCCATGCCCGTGGGTCCCTCACTACATATAAAGCTTTCATCGATGGTCCTAGGATTTCCTGAAAGAAGGGAAGCTTTAATGTCCAGCTCCCACTGCTTAAACTAAGCACAGGCCGTGCATTAGGGTAATAGATGAGATGTCTTCTCAGTTCCCTGATATATTCAGCATCTTTTTCTTGACTCCCTCTTGCCCTGCTTTTTTGCTCTGACAGGGATTCTCTCTTTCTGGATCTTTTCTTTTTGTCCTTGCTTAATGCAGAATGCTGGGCAACTTTACTTCTGCTAGCTTCATATAAATGAATGTTTTGTAAATGCAACTTTGTATCTCGAACTAGAGACTGCAGCCACCCTTGGATAAGACGAAAATTACCATTCTGAACATCAGAAGCCTTCCATTCACATGGATCTACAAAGGAATCAATTTCAAATTCAGTCTCGGGAATTTCAAGATAGGGTGTAGGTATTCTGATGTATAAAAAGTCACTGGTGTTGAAAAACAGCTGTTTTAAAATTTCTGCACCAGAAGTGGGAAGTGAAGTAATGATAACATCTGGCAAAACAATGGGGTTTCCTTCTAATTGTTTGGCTTTATTGCCTTTATCATGTTCTAGCCTTGTCATGTCACTGCTCCATTTTGCACAGATGGGCTGAGTACACATGCTCCACACATCCACCAATTCAATAAGCCACAGTGTGACAACCAGTATCAGAATCCAGCGCAACATTTTACCAAAGGATATGTAAAACCGCCACTGAAAAGCCAGTATGACCAAACTGACACCCAAAATTAACCCTGCGATTATGTTCACTTTGAATCCAAATGGGAAAACCACTCTATTATTTTTTATCTCTTTTTTCACAGATTCAGTACCAAGACCAAACTTGGTCACTTTATTTTCATGGATTACTTTGGCAAAACCACCAAATCCCAAGTAATCGAACCTTGCCTTTAAATTCTGATACTCGGTCACAACAGAGATGGTATTTTCGGTGTGGTTGACACTGAGTGAAATCTGAAATCCAGATTTTGAATTATCTATGAGTCTACAGTCAGAAACATTGACATATGGGCCATAGAAAAGGTAAACAATCCTTGTAAGTGTATTTTTCATTGGAAAGGTAACATTTACAAACTGAGTCCATCGCTTTTTGAATTCAGCTGCTTGTTCAGCCTCCTGTATCCTAGCAACAGGGCTACTCCCACGATGATCAAACCAAAACATCTTGTAGTGGGCATCCCACACATCCATCATAGCTCCACTGTACTTGTTCTTAAACTTATAGGGTATGTACTTAAAATCAATGTCAAGATTATGAAAAAAGGCACTGACAGAATTAACAGGAGAGTCTTCCTCCTTCTCAATATGGTCTACTACTAACAGTGTCTGAGAATTTAGGAGCAGCAAAACACGATACACGCTTTTCAGTTTCATTGCTGACGTGTAAGCAGATACCGCCTCACCACTCACAAACATCATGTCTCCAGCCTGAGAGGCTGTTATAATTTCTCCAGTTGAGTCTCCAACCTCATCACCAATCCACTTCAGCCACTGGGCACATTCACCAAGTTGTCCTTCCCAAGGCTGGTTGCACTGGCTTGTAGGAGATGGAGCAAAGACCAAGACATTGTTTAGGTGGCTCAGTTTAGGTCCATAAAGAGCCTCAGATACAAACACCTGTCCATTGGGAGCAAAAGTGAAACGAGTTCTGATCAGGATGTTCATGTCCTGGATTGAAACTTCTCCACCCGTCAATCCAGGTATAGGGTTGAAAGTGAACGATATCATAGACAGCACGTCCACCGAGTTTTCCAGACTTAAAGGACACAAAGGTGTTTGTCTGACTGTTTGGCAATCCAGCCCCGTAAGTAACGACTCCCCAGTTAGGAAACACATGCATTTTAGCAGTACCATAGTCAGGAGGAGGCTGAGGAGTGATTTCAGCAGCATACCATATAAATTCAGTATGTAATGTGCTCCACCTCTGTGCAGTGGATGGCACCATTGGCCCATCCTTGGGTCTGTGTTTTCTAATCTGCTGTGCCAGCCAGTTGCCAGCTCCATTCTTCATTATAAACTTGTCCAAGAAAACCAGTTGGCTCTCAGGACCATAAAACCAGTTGTAATTAGAATCCGCTACGCCCACAGTCCTCTGAAAGCCTGGTAATAGGGTGGCATAGTAAAACCAAAAGTGCATTTTGAGCCAGTTGTTCTCCAAGTTGTTAATACCAAAGTGGCGCTGGGCCAGGAAAACATACTGGGTTACTGACTTGGCTGTGTAACTCCCGTAAGCTACTCCCTCATCTAGAGATCCATCTACAATATGATTGAGCAGAAACATGGTTTTCTCCATCACATCAACAACAGTGTGCTTCCAAATATTTGCCCGAGATCCTTTGTCCACTCCTGCAACCAAAGCCCCGATAAGCAAAGCAAGCATATTGGTTGCCTGGTGATTATGGAGAAGTTGCTTTCCCCAGGAACGAACCTTGGAGTACTCATACATTTCCTCGCTTACAGACCATATCTTCTCCAGATATTTTTGCCTTCTCTCATTTTCCAGTGAATTATACAAGAAATCAAAAGCAGTGGCAAATCCTGTTAGGGAATGACCAAGTGGTACTTCATCCCCAGGTGCATTCTCAACCAACCAGTTTTTGTAGCCAGCCATTCTATCCATATATTCTATGGCAAAATCAAATGCAGCTTTATCTTCGGGGCACAGCAGACAATAAAATGCTAGAGGTGGCAGATTGTTACCATAAATCTCATTCCACTTTGCAGCAAAATCAGCGTACTTGGGTGGAGGTAGATAGTATAAAGGGTTGGAAAGCATAACCATCACGGCACTTCTGATGACTCTAAAGAGATGCAAATGGCTTGTGTGAGCCTTCTGCCTCAGTGCTTGAACATCTTGAGCATCAAAATACAAACTTGGATGAAGGACTGTTTTTTTCAGTTTCTGCTCAGCACTAAGGCCTTCAAGTTGCTGTTTTTCATATTGATCTACATTTTCTATGAAAGTCACCCAATCAGAGTAATTGCTTACAGATTCTTCAAAAGCAAAGACATCAAACATCATCAATGCTAGAAATAAAGTATGCCCTGTGAACATCAGAGCCATGATCCATTAGGCAGCTCCTCTTTCCCAGACATGCATTTCCTTACAAAACACAATGTCCAGATATAAAAAATTCATCCAGTTAGTAAAAAAATCTATTATCTTAAGGCATATTTTTAGGAGAAAAGATTTAGTGTATACTGTGCATTATAACAGAGGCTGAGACTACTTGCAATCTGAGATACAACATTGAAATGACAAGGCTCTTGAAAACTTAAATCTCAGATGCCTTGTCTGTTCACACTTTTCTTAAACACAACACAACATAAACACTAAAATCAGGTTAAAAATAAAATCTCTAAGATATGCATATAAAACACAGGTCAACAATGCACAGGATATAGAGTGAAACATTATCTCTTGATAACTTGAAAAACTTCATCTGATAAAAGGAATCAGAGTCATAGGTTTGCTTTTTTAAAAAGATTTCAATCAGGTTAGATTCCACTTTTAGAACTGACAAAAACTCCACTGATCAAAAAAAAGATATAATTTATTCAAAACAGTGTGTTAGATTTGATAAAATAGGGAATTTACAGCACTTGGAAAAGAGACTCCAAAACTGACGTTATTGTCTTCAGTTTTTGCTTTATCTCAATTTCCATATACATTCTTTCCATCTTTCTCTTTTGGGATTCATGGAAGGGCAAGAAGGAAAACAATAATAGAAAAAATCAACAGAGATCCTCCATTAGATCCTTTTGATGAAACTGCAGTGCTTTTAACCGCTATTCTTCTCTTTGTGAAAAGTGCATCTGAATTAATAGTCACAGAGTACTGACATATTTTCAAGTCTTCTTTCATCTTATCTTCAGCCAGTGATACCCAAATTTGGCCTCAATGATTCAAAAAATCCTGCTCCTTCCATTATGATGCAAAAGAAAAACATGTGAAAGAGGCAGAAAGCCAACACTTTCTTGTCGAAAGAGCAGTTTCAGATTTCCTTCCACTTGGTATGGTGGTTCTTTCTGTGGAAACAGAAACAAAAGTTCTCTGAAGCTGTGCAGGTGTCATCAGAACATATTTAAAGTACTTTGACTAACAAGGTCAAAGGGAAAGATGAGTTAATTAACCTTTCCTTTTACAGAAATAAATAAATAAACATATAAATAAATAATAATAATAACAAAAAGCATTTTCAAAGTTCCCCAAAATTTATCCTTGGCAAAAGAACAATTCAGATTGGCTACTCAAGGTTGCTTTACTTCACCTTTTCCTGCCTGAACAAGAGGTCTCAGGGCATCTTTTGCCGTTACGCTACCAGCAGCTACCCGAGGAAACAAATCTGACCGCACGCCACCGAAATTCGACGGAGCTCAAATTAAAAACAAAATTTAAAAAAAAAAAAACTTTATTCGCGTACAGAAAACCACGCGAGTGGCACTGCCGGCGAGAGGACAGCGGCAGGAGGGACCCCCGCCAGCCCGACCTCGGCGGCCGCCCCGGGCCGCCCCCGCCCGCGGGCCCGCACGGAGCCCGCCCGCGGCCAGCAGGGGGCGCCCCCCGCCGCCGCCGCCGCCTCCGCGCCCGCCCCGGGGCCGCACAACTTGCACAAGTTTCGGCGCGGCCCCGCGGCGCTCCCCGCGCTCCCCGCCCCGCCCGGGCGATGCCGGACCCTCGCTCCCGGCGCCCCGCAGGCGCGACCCCGTCTTACCGCGGCGGGTCCCGGGCGGCTTCCGCGGGGCTCGGCCCCGACCGGCGCGGCCCGGGGCGCGGGACCAGCCCCGGCCGGGGGCTGCGGGTGGCGGCCGCCGCGCCGGCCCCGCTCGGCTGGGCCGGGCTTCGCTGGGCTCCGGCCCTTTCCGCGCTGCCGCTACTTTCCCCTTTCCGGGCTGGCCGCAACTTCGGGTCCCTGCCCGCCGCTGGCGGCTCCCAGGAGTTGATGGAGGGGGAGATGCGGCTCCGGCTGCCCAGCGACGGGCACGGGCAGCCAGGCAAACTCGCAGGGATGTCGCTACGGAGGGGCGGGGATGGAAGGGAGGAGGGAGGGAGGGAGGCGGGAGGCGGCGGCGGGGCTTGGCAGAGCCGCCCCCGGCAGAGCGGCGATGTGCCGATCCTCCGCGCCGTGCTCGGCGGCCGGTCCCGCCGCCACCGCTCCCGGCGGATCCTCTTCCCTACTGCTGCGTGAGCTGCCGCTGCTCCCGGCGCCGAGCCCGGCCCCGCTCCCGGCGGCGGATGCCACCGCCGCCCCTGCGCCCGGAGCTCGGCGGGGCCGCCTGGGGGCAGGGCCGTGGCTGGGGGGCCGCGCCCGGGAGCGGCGGAGGCGGCGGGGGGAGGCCAGAGCCCGCGGGGACCCGGTGCGGCGGGTCCCGGCGCGGGGAGCGGGGAGTAGAGGCAGGTATGAGGGAGCTGGTGGAAGGAAAGCTGCCGCGGTGGGACGCCTCTGCCGACCGGCCCCCGGGGCTCCCAGCCGGGGCACTGCCAGGGGTGGGCACGGCGGCGACCCGGGTCCGGCGAGCAAGGCAGAGCTGGGTTGGGCTGGGCAGGACGACAGGAATCGCCGTTCCTGCGGGTGACAACTTTGTGAGCGCGGAATAACTACCTAACAGTGCCCGTGTCTCAGGAACCACGGGGATGCGCAGCATCTGCTTGTTGGAGCGGTTCCACTTCTTCATAACTACCTTCCTGCGCACGCACTTTGTCTTGTGCAGTGCATTGAAATGGTTCTCATTCAGCTTTAGCTGTAGGCTTCTGAAGTGACTATAACGCCGTAATGAGGTGTAAAATCCTCTGCCCCTCGACTCGGTCACGGTCAGTGATGCGATGAAGGGCCAGCAGGAAACGGTGGCCTGCCCGCCTGATGCCGAGGTCCACCCGCGAAATCCCCGAGGTATAGCACCATTCTGGTCTTTGAATCACAATTTGGATTGCCGGTGAGGACTTTTAGAGCCTGATTTTGTAACATGATTTGATACCAAGCTGTTATTTGGTAGTCGAGTGCAGTCTAGAAAAACGGTGAGAGATTTTGGATATGTTACCACTTACTATGTTTATAATCTGTACTTCAGAGAACATGAATTTTGATCATCTCAAAAAGCATAACTTTTTCTCAGACATAGCCTATGTTCTTTTTATTTCCCCCCTAGAAAATACAGTTGCATAATTAAATATTTCTTAAACTACTTAATGTGTAACTATCTTGAAATGAATATATGAATATATAAAGGCCATACATTATGGATACTGATTATGTTTCTTTGTACTAGAGTGTGCACCTTAGAAGGATTAAATTATTAAATTATGTCTATTTACAGCAATGATTAAGTATACCTGGAACAATCCACATCTTTCAGATGTGCCCTTTAGACTTGGCTTAAAGGGGAAAAATACTGATTATTGCCTGGGTCATATCTTCCCATCAGTAGAAATTTGCATAACAAATAAAGATCAGCACATAATTCCCTGACTGTGAATCTTTTACAATGATGCCTTTCCATAATACTAGGGAAGTTATTCCAGGAGGACAGCAAGGGGAATTCTAAAGCAACAGTAGAGGCCACATTCCCCTTTAAATCTGTAGAAACTGAGTGGAATACACTACAAATGAAAACCTCCCAAATCTTTTTCCTTTTATTCCCATTGTAGCCATTACATTTTTCCCAAGAATGGTGCATTCTGGAACATATTAAAGTCTCAGAGAGTGACTTCTCCCTTAAATTGTCAGGCAATTCAAAATGAGCAGAATATGTGGAGGACTTGTGTTAGGTTAAAAGCAAGAGTAAAGCTCTCCCAAGAGCCCTTCTCACTCCCTGGGACCAGTGGTGAGACTATTACATACACAGTGTTCATTTGCAATGTGATATTTCTGGAGAAACATGAAAATGAATTACTGACTGACCCTATACATTCACAAAGAGTACCATTTTGAAAAAGTCTTACTTATCAGGCAACAAAGGCATTTGTAAGGCATTTCTCTTTTTCTCTGGCAGCTCTTTCACGTTATCTGAAGTGCACTGGCAAAAAAGTTGAGGCCATTTTTCTGCTAAGCCAGTTGCAAAGCAAGAGTGTCTTTAACCACCTATGATTTCAAACAGTACAGGCTACTTTCTGTCATTTTCAAGTCATTTTGCTTCAAACATCATCTCCCCCAAAACCCCCAAATAAACAACAACAACAACAACAAAGTCCCAGATAAAACAACCTCTAGTGGTATAACTAGTATTCATTTATTTTTTCTATTAGTAGTGTTCAGTAGTCAGCAAAGACCCATGGTTACTAAACTACAACTCAAGAATGAAACGAAAAGCTCACGTATACAACTGGTATCAAGGATAAACAATTAAGTGAAGCAAACTTCAAAGGATTTGGATTAAGGTAATTCGAAATAGTGACTCTGGGTTGTAACCAACTCTTTTGCCTAAAATGAGCCTGAATTACATTGACATTCTGCTCTTTAAAGAGTGATCACTAAAATCAAGATTACTTTCAGAATAACTGTTAATTGTGAAAGTAACTATTAAAAGTTACCACTTTTTGTATTTGTAGAAACACTGACCATCTGGGAACAAATTGCATTATATTACTACATTTTCAAATATTCTTCTTAACTATGAATAGCTGAAAAGCAGGGCTTGTGGGCTATCAGAAAGAAAAATATACTGTAAAATATCTACCAAGATAACGACTTTTGACTTATGGGAAAGTGACCTCACCATCAGTTCAAATTCTTAGTGTAAGAAATCATGGGTCATTGTTGGGGATGTGCTGTGGTGTACTGCTTTGGGGATAGCATTCTGCACCGATATCAAAATCGGCCATCTGAATGATCTTGAAAATGATAGTAGTGTTATTCTGCTTGATGTACAGGTCAAGTGCTAACAGGTGGGTGTGAAGAGTATAATAGTCTGCTGGACTGCAGCAAAATACTTACCAGTGTCAAAGAGATAATAATTCAAAATTTTATATGTGAATGAGATGCTGATGTCAAATATGAGACATTCATTCACATTCAAAAAAAGAGCCAGGTATTTAGGAATGAACTGGACTGAGGTAATTAGGTTCCAGTAGTAGTGGACTCTTGAAACTTCTACCTAGCTCCTCAAGCAGCAAAAGTACATAAATTCCTAAGTAGGGGTTTTATTTCAGAGTCGTCACAAGTTTAGGGGAGAGTCCTTTACCACTTAGAAATCTTTCTATATTGGTAGGGTTTGGTGCTTATTTCATGACTCAGTCTAACTGGACTTTCTTTCAGTGTGGACTGAAAGATACAAGTTTCTTAATCTAAATCCACTTGAAGACTTAAATTCATTGTGACTTCTTGAAACATGCCTCATGCACAACTCCTTTTACAGCAGACAAAGGAGAAGACATTGGAGGAAAGATAATGCAGTGGTGATGAAGATCCACTTAAAAACAATAACCTATTGGTCAAAAGCACCCACCTTTCACAGAGAAAACATGGTTGCAATGGACTTTTCTAACTAAAAGCTAACAGCAAAAAACACAAAAAAGCAGGCAAGAATATCCTGGTGTTATTAAAACTAAAAATTAACATACTGCAAAGACTCTTCTTAGTGATGTTCTCTATCGCTGCATGACTAGAGAGGCTGAAAAGTGCTTGGTGTCCCTGTCAGCAGAGAAAGGTAGGATGGAACGACTTCCAAAAGCTGTAGTGCTGCATTCCCTCCATCCCAGCTGTGAGCTCCTGTCAGCCCCTTTGTGTCCGAGCAGTTGGCAGTCTCATTGCTACATAACTGGTCCTGCAGACTCTACGGGGCAGCACAGTTTTGGGCAAACTTAAATAGATTAATAACCTGCACCTTGAAAAGGTCAGCTGCATAGAGGGGTAATTTTAAATCCATTTGTGAGTTACTCAGACACTGAGTATGAAGGAAACAGGATTATTTGTACTTTGGTAGCATTTTAATCAGTCTTTGGTGGAAGTGGTTTAAAAACATCAGGATATACAATGGTGGGATCTCAGGAAGATTCTCAGCAGTTGGTCAGAACAGCACAGGGCCAAGTTCTTAGGGTTTCAAATTCGTTGGAGTAACTTTTGTGCAGGTCTACACCGGAACACTTTTTTCACTATGGAAACTCATCACCAAGCGGAGAAAGAAGATTAGTTGTATTTATGGAAGCATTGAAGTGTTTAAGGCTTGCTGATTGTGTTTTGCAACCTGCCCCTAGATGTTGCAATATGTTGGCACATTAATCGTAACATAAAACCAAAAGAGTGGAAGAGGAAGGATTTTTCTTTTCCTTGACCCAGTCAGTGTCTTGCAATATAAGAAATTCTTGACTTTAAACTCTCTACCCCCAAAGAACACCCAGAGAAACAAACCACCAAT